AACCACCCCTCCTCCCCTCTCAGTCCATGTGGTTTGGGTGAGTCTGACCTGGCCTTTCTACTCGCCTGGCTGCAGGCTGGGTGCATGTGCCAGGCCTGGCCTGGCTAATCAGCTGATTTCTTCCCCCCTGCTGGGCCCAATGACAACCAATTCAAGGAATTTTGCTGGAACTCTTTGGAGAAGAGAGGTTGCCAGTAATTGGCTTGGTGCACATCTGGAGATACTAAAGACCATCTGGCCATGACATGGGAGGATCTTGTCTGAGAATAAAGCCATCACAGAAGAAAACAGCATGGACAGGGAAAGAATTAGAGAGAGGGGGGGAAAGAGAAACAGATTGAGTAATTAATTGATGTGTATGAGAGAGAGAGAGAGCCTGAGACTTGACAAAACAGGTTGAGCCCCTAGATCCAGCCTTAACTGATGCAGTATCTAGTCCCTGGATTTTTCAGTGAAGGGGTCAAGAATTTGCCACTGCAGCATAAAAATATTTCTAGCAGAAGGCTTTGAGTTCCTGATATCACTTATCTGCCTAAAAGCACAGCCTCTCCAAGGAACTCAGTTGTCATAAATTCTCTCTGGAGAGTAACCAGGAAAGATTGACTATAGAGACTAGATTTGGCACACCTAAACAGACATTGAAACAAAATTATCACCTCCCATCCATTTTCCTAAGCACCCATTATCTTTCCTAAAAGCCATTTGTTTTCCTCTAAGTGACCTCCTCCCTCCTCCCTTTCCCCTATTAAGAAGGTCTATAGGCCCCCAATTCTAACCACCTCTTTGAGTTATTTTTCTGTGAGCTCCTCCTATATGCATGTACTTAAATCTCTTTTGTCAGTTAATTTGTAGCTTCCCTCCTCCCTCAAAATGAATCTAAAAGAGTAGGGGAAAATATTTTCTACCCCAACTTTAGTTACATAAGCAGAAACTAGCCCTCCAATATCAGCTTCTGTGATTCCAATGTTCCACACAAGTCTCTGATTTGCCTAAGGACTAAATTCTACTTTATCTATTTTTTTCAGAACAGAGAGAAGCCAGCAATGACCTGGGCTTCTGAAGACCTGCCCTGATTGCCTGAAAATAAAGGGATTTGCCCACAGAGCCACGAGGATCCTGGCTGCATTCCTTGCCCTGTCTGCACCCTCAGTATCCACTCAGGTAGTGCCAGTCCTATAAAGGGTCCCAGTGGTATCTTTTATTAATTCGTTTGTTAATTCAACACACATTCATGGAGCACCAACTAAGTTCCAAAATGAAGTTTTTATTCTCGGAGATCTTAGGATTTGGTAAGGAAAACAGATAAGAAGGATTTAATCAGAACGTGATTACTGCTCTGCTAGCAATAAGCACAGAGAAGAGCCCTCTATGTAGGGGGCTACGTTGGGGGGTGTGCAGCAGGCATGTTAAAGAAGCTTCCTGAAGGAAGTGACCCCTGAGCTGAATTCCAAGGGATGAGGAGTCATCTGGATAGAGGGTAGAGGACATGCTTTCCAGGCAGGCAAAAGGACCAGCATGAGACACAAACTCCAGGGGACGGAGAGGCTGTGGCCTGGCAGAGGAACTGGCTAGGGCAGAGCTGGAGGTGGGAGAGGTGCAGGGACGCCCGCAGGGAGCAGAGCATCTGTTTGACAAGATACTCTGATGAGGACTGCTTCCTGCAAGTACAGATGGACAGATAGCAAGCAACACGGCTCAGGCCCAAACCTGAGCCCAGGGAAAGCCTGGCTCATGCCCACAGAGAAGAAGACTGGTGGATCCCAAGCCAGGGTTCATGGTCAAGGGGTATGACAGAGTCTTGAGCACAGGTGTTGGTGAGCTCTTTGCCCTCACAGAAAGCTTGGATCTTCTTATTAGAAATGACAGCAGGCCACTGAAGGCAGGGCCCAGAGCAAAGTCTTCCATTTTCTCTCCCCATCCTGATTCCCCCTAGATTATGCTCTTCCCCAATCGTGAGCTCTGCAGGGCCTGTGGGGACAGGGACTACTATGGGTGAAAGTGGGTTCATTCATTCACTTTCTTTTTACATTACCCTTTCTTGGGGTACACCCCATTCTTTGTGCTCTGTTGAGACCAATCATAAAGCCTTAGCCTCTTCCCATGGGGTACTTACCATGCCCAGTCAATCATGATACCCCTTTCCTGGCAACAGTGATTCATCCCTAGGGTGGGCTCAAGACTCCTGCAGGCCAACCAGAGTCTGCCTTGAATCTCTCCTCCCTGAAGTTACCGAACTGGGAGACTATGGGTTTGGAGAGAGCCCATCTATTCTGTGGGCAGAGTCACTTGTTAGAAGGAAACCGAGCCAAGATAATGATAATGATGATGATGACAACATTGATGTAGATATTACCAAGCACTGCTTGAAGCCAAACCTACTCCTGGACTCGCAGTTCCACGATCCAGTTCATAAGCCAATTTAGTTGAGTTTCCTTTACATGCAGGTACAAGAATCTTCAGTCAGTTTGGCATGAACAGGTCTGAGCTCAGTATCGGCCACCATAAGAACTCAGTGTGGTCACTACAATGAAGAGGGTGAAAATGGCCTTCATCTCCTTTATCACCACCTCTTTCCTCCCAGGAACAGTCTTACCCTTTCCTTCTGGCCAAGGGAATAGGTTCTGGTTGTGTGCGCTTCCCACTTGCAAAGAATGGCTGGGGGTGAGGGATACAGCAAAGACAGGCCAAGCCACCCACTGTCCAGCAGTCAGCGTGGTAGCTGCATCAGCCCTGCCCAGGTCTCCAGCCTGCCCAGTAAATGTGATTTGTGATTTGGACTAGCTGATGGTAGAGGGAGCGTAATCTGGAGTCCGATGCACAGTCTGAATCCTGTTGCAAGAGCTGTGTGACCTCAGTCACTTTACTTTTCTGGGCTTCTGTTTCCTTGCCTATAAAACCAGGACAATAACAACACCTGTTTTGCAGAAGTTGTAATGACTACATGAGAGAAAACAAAGAAACCTAAAATTAACATTGTGCTTAATGTATGTCAGGCGATTTTCTGAGCACTAGACAAACCATTAGTCCACTTCAACTTTATAATAAACTAAGAAAGTAGGTACTGTTATTATTCTTGCCTTATAGATGAAGGAATTGAGGAACAAAGAGGTTAGTAACTCACTCAGGTCTCACAATTAGTAAGCAGTAGAACTGGGATTCGAATCAAGACATTGCAAGCTGAGTCCACATGCTCATGTGCCAGGGGTCCATGAAATCAGAACCCATGCCAGGGAGTTTAAGAGAAGGAATTCGATAAGGGCAACTAGTTAGAGAGGGGCTAAAAGAAATGAAAACCAAGGAAAGGTGGGACAACCTAGGGATTAACAACTGTGGGAAATCACTATTTCCCCAGGACCTAAGGGACAAAGGCAGGAGTGGGTGTCACGGCAGCCCAAGCACTGTGGCTGCCTGGTGGGAGGTAGGATATTGCAGGAAGAAGCCATCCTCTGGAGTCACTGCCAGAGCCTGCAGAAGGGTCAGTGTGAGGGGATACATCCTGTCTGCTCCCCACGTCCTCCTCACTAATCTGCCAGTACCTCCCCCTGGCCAAAGTTAGCAGGGGAGCCTAGGACTTGTAGTTCAGCCTAGATGCTGAGCCTAGCAGGGGAAGGGCAGGGAATGGATCTGAGAACAAACAGTAAACGATCTGCATGCCCAACGTACCATACAGTCTCCTCATCAAAATGCGGGACACAGAAGGACAATTGTGCCATAAATGGGAGTTGAGGACACACACTGTGGTGGCAAGAATTTAGGCCCCTGTCTTCTGGTTCAATGCTGTGTCCAGCATGCAGTAGAACACAGCATATGGTTGTCCTAGGACACTGGAGAGCAGAAAGGAAAACTGGGGCTCCTGATAGTGCCTCCTCCTCTTAGCCTTTGCACAAATGGAAACTTCTACAGATGGTTCTGCACAGCTGGTGCAGACCTGCCACAAGAAGCACGCTCTCTTTTTCTCTTTAAAAGGAGAGCAGCTTGAATTGCCCTAGCAAGTGCTTTGGGGTCTGAGAGAAACAGATGCAGCTGCTGCTGAAAATCAGCAGGCAAGTAAGTGGGGTGAGATACCTCCCAGCTCCCTGCATCCTCCTTTTTACAAAGGCCATCATTTCTGTCCCTGCAGGGTCCCCTCATTCCCCTCCCCCCACAGGCCTCTGTATGATTTCTGAGTAGCTGGGAAGCAGTTGCCACCTGCTGCCCTTGAAGCAGGCAGGATTGCACAGGTGACAGTGGGAGCAAGGGCAAAAGGTCAGAACCCAAGAGATGGGGAGTCTAAGCCTGTTTTGACAGGATGTAGGAGAAACGGTCACAAAACCCTTCCCTTTGACCCAGAACTCTGCCTCTAGGAATGTATTATACAGATAACCTTATACAAGTGCATAAAGACCTCTGCACAAGGCTGTTCCCTGCAGTGTGGATTATGATTAGCAGAAGACTGGAAAAAGAATAATGATCAATTTGATTAAACAAACTATGTTGCATTTGAACAATGGAGTGCTCTGTGCCCTTAGAAGGAATGAGACCCATCTCTATGTGCTGAAACAAGCTGATCTTCAAGATAAATAAAGTAAAAAATGCAAGGGACAGAACACAAAATGCACATTTGCAAGGGGGGAGAGGGAAGAGGTATTTTTATGTACCTTTACACGTGAGTCCTTTCTTATCCAAATCTATTTTGGTTTCTGAATTCACAGAGGGTTCAGAAAGCAAAGGATGCTACATTATCATTATCAGAATCTTTGACTCCTGCATTTCGTTTCAGATAACGAAATGGCAAGAGTTAGACAGCATATAGCATATCCAAGAGGCTATCTGAACCCATCTGGTTCCTGAGTTTGAATAGGGTTTGGATAACAAGAAGATTGCAGGAATATCTATAAATGGATAACTCTCTGGGAAGATACACAGGAAACTGGTTAGTAATGGCTGCTGCTGGGGAGGGGGTAATTCAGCCCTGTGACAATTGGGTGGTAGGAAGACTTATTTTTCAGTTTATATATATGTTGTAATGGTTTTCAAACATGGCCCCAAAATTCTTTGAGAGGTGGGAGTAGGGGTGTCCCTTCCATTCTATCTGAGTGGGTTGGCATCAGCTCAGACCAATAAAGAAGGGTGGAAATCACACTATGTGACTTTTAAGGCTAGGCCATGAAAGGTCATGCAGCTACATCTGGTTCTTCTGTATTGCTTGCTCTCTCTCAGCCCCCAGCCCCATGCCGAGGCACGCCCAGGTCGCAGGGAATGGCCCCATGTGGACACTGTGGTCCACAGTTCCATCTGAGCTCCCACTGACAGCTGCCTCACATGCCCAGCTCCAGGCGAGTGTTCAAATGACTGCACACCCAGCCTCCACGTGACAGCACCACCAGGGATGCCAGGGGAGAACAACTCATCTGAACCAGGTCAGCACACAGAAATGCAAGAGACAGCACTACACTGTTGTTTTAAGCCACTAGGACTTGAGGTGGGTTGTGGGGAGGGACATATTAACTGGAACATACGTGCTATCATATATAGTACTATTCAAAATTAAGAGTACGGTCATTGTGAGGATGGTGCGAAATGCTGAATGTGCAGTAACGAATTTATACATCACAAGGTACTGCCATTATCTCCATTCCACAGATGAGAAAACTGAAGCGATGAGGAATTCTTTGATTACTTGCCCATCACATAGCTCATAAGAGGTTTGAAACCAGGGTATAAAACCAGGAGGCCTCTGAGCCCTAGGCTGTCACTCCTGGGACCCTGCTCTCATTCCTTGCCCATTGTGCCAAAGTTTGGGATAGGTGAAAAACTCAAAACCCACAGGGGCCTGGTCAGTAACACAAAGGGGTGAAGTGGGCCCCGTGAGCTCTGTCTGGAGCCGTGTCAACTCAGCTCTGGGAAAGCCAGCCTGGAGTTGCCAGATCTTTGAATTTTCTAAAAGAAACTAAAAATCAGATTTCTTTCTTTCTTTCTTTCTTTTTTTTTTTATCTTTAATCTACACTTACATGAAGAATATTATGTTTACTAGGCTCTCCCCTATACCAGGTCCCCCCTATAAACCACTTTACAGTCACTGTCCATCAGCATAGCAAAATGTTGTAGAATCACTACTTGTCTTAGAAATCAGATTTCTATGTGCAATCTATTCCTGTTTTAATGTTGGCAACAAATTCTTTCTTTCTTCTCTCTTTTTTTAAACTGTGCAGACTGAAAAGGAAAACAAAAACAAAAGCCTGCCAATTTGCCTCTCTGGACTAGAGGATCTCCAAGGAGTCTTCAGCTCAGACATCTTGACTTCAGTAGAAGCTCTCTGGGGAGACAGCTCTAATTCCAATCCCAGGGGGCTCAGATCTGAGAAGGAAAGGGAGCAGTGTGGATGGAGATGCCCCAGCCTCCCCCACCCCTCCCCTCCCGCAGTGTTGGGAAGCAGTGGGTGCTGGGAAGCCAGGCCCTGGGGAGCAATGTGGGCAGGCAGCTGATCCTGTGATAAATCAGCCGCCAGAAGCTGCCTGCTTTCCCAGAGCTCTCAGTCTGCTCCCCAGGGCTTCGGGAGCAGCCAGGTCACCAGGGGAGACTGAATTTCTCCTGTAATGGGAAACCTTCCGGGCTCACAGCAGCCATTTTCTTCACCTCTCCTACTCACCCCACTGCTTTTTCAATGGGAACCTTGCCCCGTCTCCTCCCCCAGCTGACCCTTCTCTGTGGAGGAGGGATCCATCCAATCTTCGACTGTCTTTCTGGGCTAACCCCCAGTTCCCCAATGTCTTCAATTCCCTCCTGAATCTGAAGCCTATTCCATCTTCAGCTGACTTGTCTTCCTCTGAGATACAGCCTGGCAGAGTGCAGGCAGTGTGATTGATGAGCTAAGAAGCTCCGGCTGGCAGGCGGGTGGGCAGCCAGCCAAGGACATGGCTCTCACAAGAGAGCAGTGCTGCCAGGTGCCGGGGGGAGCCCAGAGCTACCAGGACGCTCCCTGAGGTCCCTCTGCTGCTTGGGCTTATGTGGCAGCCACTCTGGGCACAGCAGATGACCACAAGTATTATTGGGTACCATACCTGGCACACAACTGTCCCATAGTCAATGAGAGTGTTCCCTTCTCTCCCCACTCCACAACAGAGATCCAAGGAGATGCAGACAGCGAGCTTCTGAGAGCTGGGAATGTTTGTTATTCAGGCATGCCACTTGACCCAGGTGTTTGTCATTTGCCCACTCACTCATTCATTCTTGCAACCTGAGGGTCTGCTATGGGGATCAGCACATCATTGTAACTGCTAGTGTGGTCCTGGGGAGCAGGCCAGCTTGGTCCAGGGTCCATCACTTCCTGGCTGCATGACCTTGGGCAGGTCACTTCACCTTTCTGCAGTTCAGCTTCTCCCTCAGGGTTGCTGCTGTAAGATTCAGTCCATGTTAGATGCAAAGTGCGTAGAACAGAGCCTGGTGTTCAAAAGAGATCAATAAATTCATTCATTCATTAAACAACCAAGATAAAGACCTATGATATACCAGGTTCTGAGGCTAGGGTTATGAGTGAGGCAGATAAAGTCCCTGCTTTCCTGCAGTTTACCTTTGGGAGGGGGGAGATTGACAATAAACAGATAGCGGAACCAACAAACAAGGAAATACCAAGTTGAGCCCAAGGCCATAGGACATGAGTAATCACAGTGAGGTGGCTAGGCATGAGACCTGTCCAAGGAGGTGACACTGTAGTTTGAGTTTGGATAAGGAAGACATAGCCAGCGGGAAATCTGTGGAAATGGCATTCTAGACCAAAGAAAACAGCACAAGCAAAGATCCTGAGGCAGAATAAACCTTAGAATATGCAAGAATCAGAAAGGGAGAGCAGAAGGGAGAAGTGCATCTAGAAGAGTAAAGGGGAGCATGTAGGAGCTGAGCTTGGGCACCCACACAAAGGCCAGGTCAGCAAGGACTAGCAGGCTGGGATAAGATTTTATTTAAAGCACAATGGGAAGCTACTGTGCTTTTGTTTTTGTTTTGCTTTTCAGTCTGAACAGTTTAAAAAAAATTTTTTTTTTTGCTAATTTTTTAAGCAGGGGAGTGGTCTGATGGGGGAAGTAGAAGAGGGAGTGGCTGAGCAGTTCCCATGGTGGCCTGGGCCAGCTCAGTGGCCATGGCAGATTTGGGATGGTTGAGAGGTAGAAGCGACAGGTCTTTTGCTGGACACACAGGAGAAAAATAGAAATCAAGGTGTCCGCGATGGTTCCTGTGTTTTTCGTTGGAGCAGTTGGATGACCGGTAGTGTCAAGAAGAGAGGTTACAACACTTAGGGGAGGTGGTCTCTGGCCTTAAGAACTCATGGTCTTGCTGGGGAGTCAGAGAAATGGGCAGGTAGTGACAGTGCGGTGTGACAGGCGCCATGATGGGGAAGGAAAAGGAGAACAACCTACCCAAACATGGGAGGAGGGGTTCAGGCTTCCCAGTGAAGGACCTCTAGGCTGATCTGCTCCAGCCTCTCTCCAGCCTCCCCACTTGCCCTCCTTCCTTTCTAGGCTCCAGCCACACTGGCCCTTCCACTCTTCCAGCAAGCCGTTTCCTTTCCTGCCTCTGAACTGGGCACATGCCATCACCTTTTCCAGGAATGCCCCAGCCCCACCTTCTACCTCAGCCCTTGCTTCTGTCACTTCTATGTCCTTCTTGACTTAAATTATTGTATTTTTCTGCGTGTGAAATTCTCTAGCTGACTGTCTCCTCCCATAAGAAGCTGTAAGCAACCAAGGGATGGGGACATAATATATTTTTCACTCCTGGATCCCAAACCCTTGGCACAACCTGGCACAGGTAAGTGCTCTGTAAGTATGGGTTGAATTGATGAATGAATGAATGAGGATGAGGCCTGTTCTGGCATAGGGAATGGCTTGCACAAAGACCAAGAGGCATGAGAACAGGATATAGTCAGAAAACTAAAAGGACAGAATGATCTGTGACTATCTGCATTCTCTCTGCACCCTCAGCCTGGCACACAGGAGGTCTTCCATAAACATGGGAGCCTCTCTGCTCTCCTCCATGTTGTGAATAGAAAACCTGTTAGCAGGCACAGAGCCTGGGAGCTCCTGTAAGGACCGTGCGTCATTCACACATACCTCCACAGTGCCTGGCATCAACTGGCACATTATAGGTGCTCAATGGTTTTTGGGCCTTGAATGATGCTGGAAGGACAGTCACCCTCAACTACAAAGTGACAGAATTTTATAATGCCAGAGTGTTAACTTCAGCAAGGACTTTACAACCCAACCTGCCTCACGGTACAAATGAGGAAACTGAGGCCCAGAGAAAGGCATGGATTTGTGCTAGCTGACATAGCGGGTCAGTGGCAGAGCTGGGACAGGAGCCAGAATGGCATGACTGCTGCTTCAGAGATTCTTCTACCCTGTCCACACTTCTATCAATCCACCTCCTTCCCTCTCCACCCTTCTGCCTTTCAAGATGTCAGAAACAGCAGAGCAGAGCCAACAGGAAATCCCCTGGTGCCTCTTACCAGGGTGAAGGCGTTGTGTTACAGGGAGGGCAGATGTGGCTACCATTAGCTATAGCTGAGTTCCTGTCAGTTCCATTAGTGCCTCTGATTAACCCATTAGCACCCACTGGAAGCAGGAAGTGCAGGGACCCCAGAGGGGTTGAGTGAGAGTTAGCCAGCTTTTATGAGGCCAAGGGAGCAGGGCTGGACAGACAGAACAGGGGTCTTTTTCTTACTTTAGAAGTGGGCTTCCTGGGAGAGAGTGCCAGGTAGTGTAAGGGATGACAAAGATCAGGCAGGACTCAGAATCATGGCATTACAGAGCTCGAGGAAGCCAGCTGAGCTGACCCTTTTACAAATGTGAAAACTGAATAGCAGAAAAAGGAATATGTCTGAGTCACTCACAGAGAACCCGGGTTCCTGCTCAACACACTACATTGTAGGACTTAAGTATGCTACAGGAATTATGGCTAAAAATACAGCCAACCATTATTGGGGCACCTTGCTTTACATACATTATCTTGTTTTATCTATTTATCTTATTTTTATTTATCACAGCAACCCTGGAAAGCAAGAACTATTACCCCAATTTACAGTGCAAAACTGAGGTTCAGCATGATAGAGTAATCTGTCCAAAGTCACTCAGCTGATACATGGAAGAGCCAATATCTGCATTGAGGCAGTCTTATTGACAAATCCTCATCTTTGTTATCATGCCATCCTGCTGAGCAGCATCAATAGAACCATTTGAAAAATACTGTCTGCAGAGCCCTTTGTATGGGTTTTTATTTTAACCTCTTGAAGAAGACAGTGTCATCCTATGTTACAGGTAGAAAACCCACCACACAGTAAGGCCAAGAAGCCCACCTCATGTCACACACACAAATATTATCAGCAGATAAAGGATGCAAACCCGTATATCTCACTCCAAAGCCAAGACTCTTGGCCACTCCTCTATGTGAGTGCGATGACCCCGAGGACAGCCATGCAAATGCGCCTGCCTCTATACCTGCCATCCAGGCTGAGCTTTCTGCTTGTTCACTCATTCCACAAAAATAATACTGAGTGCTGGGTCTTTGCTTACAAGACCAATGGGACCCCACACTTCTGCGGCTTACATCTGCTTGGGGACAGAACAAACAGACAAGCAATTTCAGTAGGGCAGGTATGAGCACTGGGGGGTCAGGACATCACCTAATCCCAGGGGACAGAGAAGGCCAAGCCCAGGACTATTAAATTCTTAATAGGCCAGGTAAGCATTTGTCATGCAAAGAGAGGTACTGGGACCAGTCCTGGCGACGCCCAGAGGTATAAGGGAACTTTAATTCCTGCAACAGTTGGGGCTGGAGCTTTGGCTCTGACAGGGGAGGGAGGACCCAGCTGGAACTGGTGACTCAAGAAGCGGTGGGAGAATGGACTTTACCCCGGAAGACAAAGGGGAACCATTGCAGGATATTATGCATGTCCTAAGATTTGCATTTAGAAAGTTTGAGGAAGAAGGCATTGGCCAGGAGCAGATGCCTGGGGGCTAGTTTGGTGGAGTTTCCAAAGCTAAGGAGGGCTTTGGTGATTGATTGGATTTGGGCAGGAGGGGCAGTGCCACGAGGCCTGCTTCCTGACTGGGATGGCAGGCAAATGGGAGGGTGGATGCTGGGGGAATGAGGACCTGTAGTATGGGGAAGAGAGTCAAGTTCCTTGGACTGTTGAGGATGAGATAGCTGGGACATCCATGGCACAGCGTGTGGCTGGACTTCCTGGCTTGTATTTCAGGACTTACTGGTCTGAAGGTTTTGCAGAGAAATGACTCCAGACCTTCCTTACCCTGTGCCTCAGTTTCTTCCTCTGTAAAATGGATCATAACATCTATAGAGTTGTGAATATTAAATGGATATAAAATACATAATTACTGTCTAAAGTGCTTAACATAGTCCCAGGCACATGGGGATGCTTAATAAGGGTTAGCAGAATACCTATATGAAAGGATGGTTCTTAGGACTCTGACTGCAGGAGTTATTTAAGAAAGAGTTGATTGAAAAACCCAAGGGCTTTTCTTCCTCAGACTGGGTTGGATGGTAAGGGATAAGTACAGTGATGCAAAAATTATCTGGAAAGGACTGTGTGGGGGAAGGCATGGTGTCATTTTCCATCCACACGCACACCCCTTAGGGGTAAAACCTTGGGTAGATACAATTTTGGAGGACATTCTATGGGAGTGAGGCTCTGGGGTGTTGTTTTAGGAGGAGAGGAATGGCTAAGCTTTTTCTGTGCTCTCAACAAGGCTGGAGTTTTCTGCAGGAAATGCACTTTTGACTCTAAGGAGTACAGGAAAGAGCTCAAGTTAGGTTTTAGAATTGAGTTCATTCATTCATACATTTAGTCAACTAATACAGTAATTTTCTCAATTGTAAGCAAGGGATTTTGGCCCCCTGTGAACATTTGTCAGTGCCTGGAGACATTTTGGGGCCTCACAAGTAGGGGCCGGGGAGAGGTGTTCCTGGCATTTAGTGGGTAGAGGCTGGGGGTGCGGGTATTCACAGGCTGGTCCCCATTACACCCACTTTTCCAGCCCAAAATGTCAATAGTATGGAGGTGGAGGACTCTTGATCTAGTTAGTATTCACCGAAAGCCTACTGTGTGCCTACTGGGAGATACTGCAGGGAGAGCAGACAGTCAGCTTTACATACCAGGTAGTGGAGACAGACTTTAAATGTATCAGCTGGTGATAAGTGTTATCAGAAAAATGTGGGAGAAGTTGGAGGCTGCTGCCCAGGGGAAGGGACCTTGACTCCAACAACAAGGAGCTGGGGAATGGGACTGCTAGGGCAAAGGCCCTAAAGGCCCACAGGAATTGGGTTTCATTTATTCTGAAAATACTTGCAGAGTGCCCTCTGTGGGCCAGGCACTATTTCATGGGCAGAATATACATCAGAGGGCAACATGGACACAAATTCCTGCCCTCTTCGACAGTGCCACTTCCAAGGAGACTTTAGGAGGAAGACTGCCTCCTCTGGGTACTGAGAAGGTGACATTGAACCAAGTGTGGAAGGTGAGGGAGTAGGCTTCCCAGGCAGAGGGGACCGTCAGTGCAGTGACCCATGTGCGAGGGAGGGGGGGGAAGCCAGAGAGGCTCAGCGGACTAGCAGGGGCTGTGTCAGAGAAGGGCTGTGGTCTAAGTGTTGTACCCCCTCAAAATCCTTAAGTTAAAATCCTAACCCTCAAGGCTGCCTAGACTGGAGTTACTAAGTCCCCAGGAAATAATGGTTTGGAAAGAGAAGGGAAGAGAAATAGACTGCAGAGTTCCACAAGGAGCAAGCAAAGCAAGAATGACCTTACTCCCACACCTTGATCTACAGGGATGTATGGGAAAATTAACCGCTGCCCTTGAGGGTACTGAAAGGAGCAGGGGCACGGGGATGGGGGTGGGCAGGTGTCGGGGCAGGAAGCTGAAGAGAGCATGCAGAGGCTTTGAGGAGCCAGCACATTTCTGGTGACCGAGGGCTCCTGAGGGCACCATGAAAGGGTGGTCGCAGAAAGGGGGTATATTTGGGGCAGATGAGTTGTGCCGAGGCTTGGGGAAACCAGGGTGTAGGAGATGGAAGCTCAGGCTTGGGGTGGTGAACGATCTAACAATTCCAAGAACAGTTACTCTTCACTTAGCCTAAGCCACACCCTTAATAAATGTTTGCAATTACTTTTATTATTTCCCCAGGCTGCAAGAGCCTTCTGAATTCCTAGGCGGGGGCGGGGAATGGGGGGAGCTCTCAGTTCACCCCGGAGGGAAAGAGGCTGGGGCGGGACTCGGATTCCAGCCGGGTGGCTGGAGCGACCGCCACCCCAGGGCTGCCCTCCGGCAGCCCCTCCAGATTCCGAATCCGCCAGAAGCTCCCCACCCGCGCGAGGATCAAAGGCTGCTTTCAGAGCCCCAGGGATGTGGGTGTGTGCTTTAGAAAACAGAAGGGAACAACACCGGCCACAAAAAGGCCCCGGGCAGATCCCCTGACCCAGGGAGCGGGAAGCCCGAGCGCAGGACTCGCCTTGGCGCCCAGCGGCGGGGCGGAGGCAGAGCCGGGCGCAGCGCGAGGCCGCGCTGGGACAAGGCGCGAAGGCCGCGGCACAGGCGCCGCCCCCCTCCCCGCCCCTGGGAGGCCGCCGCAGTCCCGGGGCAGCCCCCGGGGCCCACGGCGCCGCCCACCCGGGCCCCGGCCCGCGTCTCACCACGGGGAGGGGGGCAGCCTCGGGGCCTGGCTGTCAGCCACGGGCTGGGTGGCCTCCTCGGGCAGGTTCCCTCCAGTCTCAAGGCCTCAGGTTTTCTTTTCTAAAAAGAGGGGGCTGGACTTGATTCTCCAAGGTTCCTCCTTGGAGCGGTCGCTGCAGGGACCCGCCTTCGGCGTCTGTGGCCGCGCCTCCGCCCCCGACTTCAGGCACAGCCCGGGCCGTCTGAGAGGGCGGTTCTCCCTTCGGCCTCCGTGGGCAGAGCTGCGGCAGTGCGGAGCTGCCTCGCAGTAGGGGGCTACACACTTTCTCCATAAAGGGCCAGATAGTATTTTAGGCTTTCCAGGCCATACACACGCTGTCATAACTACTCAACTCCGCCCTTGCAGCAAAGCAGCCGTGGGCAGTCTTAAACAAATGAGCCAGGTTGTGTCCCTATAAGACTGTTTATGGCAGCTGAGATGCGAATATCTTGTGATTGTCATGGGTCAAGAAATTTTTTTATTGTTGTATTTTTCTCAGTCATTTAAGAATGTAGAAACCATTCCTAGCTAGCAGGCTGCACTAAAAGAGGCTGCTTTGCCACGCTTGGCAGTTTACAACCCCTAATTGACAGCCTAAAGCCTTGTAATAGGGAACTTGAGGGGCTTGTTCCTTTGTCTTTCTGGAGCTGTTTCCTCATCTGCAAAATACTGACAAACTTCAGCATGACTGTGGGCATGAAGTCAGGCTACAGATGAAGCTGTGATGTCATTCTTGAATGTTGCAATGAATGACATTATTCTTTGTGTTGCAGGTGGTATGTGTCCCCAGCAGAACACAGGGACTTGGAGGTTAGGATGGCACCCTGTTGGGCCCTGCACTCCCATTTTCTGTGTGCTTACAATGCTGTAGGCACTGTGCTAGGTGCTTACTATGCAATATCTCAGTTAATCATCTCAGGCCTAGGACACAGACATAACATTCCCACTTCACAGGTAAGGAGGCTTAGAGCTGAGATCTGAACTGAGTGTTAGGTCAGCCTCCAGAGACCCTATTCACCTTCCTTGTTTTCCTGTTTGAACAAATATGGCATTGCTTAGTCTGGCTATGTGACCTTAGAACACTTTATTTTTCTGGACATCTGTAACCTCCTAGGTTAAAGGGCAAGAATTAACACCTATGCCCAACTGTCAATTTTGTCCCCATTTTTCAGAGGAAAACACTGAGGCTTAAAAAGGTTAAGTGAAGATTGGAATCTGGGCCTGTCTGACCCCCAAACTGAGCTCTTTCTACTAAGAACAGCTTCAGAGTAACCAGTTGCTTAGGCCCCAAACCTACGAATCCTCTAGGACTCCTTTCACCTAAACCATGTTCAAAATATTAGCAAGCCATTCTGATACCTCCTTGAAAAATATCCTGAATCTGTCCATTTGGGGGAGGGAGAAGAGCCATAACATTCTTTGGGGCTACTGTGATCTTCTTAAAGTATAGATCCTGTTCTGCCCTATACCTGCTTAAAGTCTTGGAAGGTTTCCAGTTGACTTGGAATAAAATCCAAACAAAACCTTACCTTGCCCACAGGCACGCCCATCTCCTGCCCCCTGTCCCTCACTCCTACCATCATTCCCTCCTCTCCAGCCTCAGTGGCTTCCTTTCTGTTCCTCTGACTTCCAGGGTGGCATGTCCCCTGCCCTCGCCTGACTTTTGCACTTCCTGCAGATCTTCATATGGGGATGGCCCCAGGAATACCACCAGCCAGGCTTCACTGGCCACCCCCACCATCTCGTATCATAAGCCGTTTCATCCTCCTTCCAGCAGTCTTCGTATATCTGATTCTTTGCACATATAGCCTCTCCCCCCAGGAGAATGTATACTCCGTTCCAGCAGGAGGGTTGCTTGCTGGTTCTCTCCTAAACCCCCAGTGCTTAGCCCATGTCTGAGGCACAATAGGTGCTCAACAAATATCTGATGAGCTAATGACTCATTGTGCCAGGATCTCAATCCTCTCTGTGGGAGATCGTGAATTTACAACAGAACCATTCAACAGACATCAAGCCCTCCCATGTGCCTGGCTCTGTGTCAGCCAGTGGGGCCACCACAAAGACACCTCTGGTCCAGGGCTGAGTGTCACACTAGCCCCCTGGGCAGAAACATGTGCAAACACATTANGTTGTGTCCCTATAAGACTGTTTATGGCAGCTGAGATGCGAATATCTTGTGATTGTCATGGGTCAAGAAATTTTTTTATTGTTGTATTTTTCTCAGTCATTTAAGAATGTAGAAACCATTCCTAGCTAGCAGGCTGCACTAAAAGAGGCTGCTTTGCCACGCTTGGCAGTTTACAACCCCTAATTGACAGCCTAAAGCCTTGTAATAGGGAACTTGAGGGGCTTGTTCCTTTGTCTTTCTGGAGCTGTTTCCTCATCTGCAAAATACTGACAAACTTCAGCATGACTGTGGGCATGAAGTCAGGCTACAGATGAAGCTGTGATGTCATTCTTGAATGTTGCAATGAATGACATTATTCTTTGTGTTGCAGGTGGTATGTGTCCCCAGCAGAACACAGGGACTTGGAGGTTAGGATGGCACCCTGTTGGGCCCTGCACTCCCATTTTCTGTGTGCTTACAATGCTGTAGGCACTGTGCTAGGTGCTTACTATGCAATATCTCAGTTAATCATCTCAGGCCTAGGACACAGACATAACATTCCCACTTCACAGGTAAGGAGGCTTAGAGCTGAGATCTGAACTGAGTGTTAGGTCAGCCTCCAGAGACCCTATTCACCTTCCTTGTTTTCCTGTTTGAACAAATATGGCATTGCTTAGTCTGGCTATGTGACCTTAGAACACTTTATTTTTCTGGACATCTGTAACCTCCTAGGTTAAAGGGCAAGAATTAACACCTATGCCCAACTGTCAATTTTGTCCCCATTTTTCAGAGGAAAACACTGAGGCTTAAAAAGGTTAAGTGAAGATTGGAATCTGGGCCTGTCTGACCCCCAAACTGAGCTCTTTCTACTAAGAACAGCTTCAGAGTAACCAGTTGCTTAGGCCCCAAACCTACGAATCCTCTAGGACTCCTTTCACCTAAACCATGTTCAAAATATTAGCAAGCCATTCTGATACCTCCTTGAAAAATATCCTGAATCTGTCCATTTGGGGGAGGGAGAAGAGCCATAACATTCTTTGGGGCTACTGTGATCTTCTTAAAGTATAGATCCTGTTCTGCCCTATACCTGCTTAAAGTCTTGGAAGGTTTCCAGTTGACTTGGAATAAAATCCAAACAAAACCTTACCTTGCCCACAGGCACGCCCATCTCCTGCCCCCTGTCCCTCACTCCTACCATCATTCCCTCCTCTCCAGCCTCAGTGGCTTCCTTTCTGTTCCTCTGACTTCCAGGGTGGCATGTCCCCTGCCCTCGCCTGACTTTTGCACTTCCTGCAGATCTTCACATGGGGATGGCCCCAGGAATACCACCAGCCAGGCTTCACTGGCCACCCCCACCACCTCGTATCATAAGCCGTTTCATCCTCCTTCCAGCAGTCTTCGTATATCTGATTCTTTGCACATATAGCCTCTCCCCCCAGGAGAATGTATACTCCGTTCCAGCAGGAGGGTTGCTTGCTGGTTCTCTCCTAAACCCCCAGTGCTTAGCCCATGTCTGAGGCACAATAGGTGCTCAACAAATATCTGATGAGCTAATGACTCATTGTGCCAGGATCTCAATCCTCTCTGTGGGAGATCGTGAATTTACAACAGAACCATTCAACAGACATCAAGCCCTCCCATGTGCCTGGCTCTGTGTCAGCCAGTGGGGCCACCACAAAGACACCTCTGGTCCAGGGCTGAGTGTCACACTAGCCCCCTGGGCAGAAACATGTGCAAACACATTAAGGCCAGACAGGGTGGATGTGTCCAGTTTCTGCTGAAAGCATCTGGGTTCAAAGGTAGCCCCAGATGGTTCCTGAATCCTATAAGAAACCCCCTTACTCTTTCTGTCTCCAAGCTGGGCTTCTCACCCAGGACTCCCTCTGCCTGGAACACCCTCCCCCACTGCACCCCGCAAGCTCACTGGCTTCATTCATTCTTCAGACCCCAGTTTCCGTATCGCTGTCCCTAGGAGGACTTCTTTAACTCCTTGATGTCCCACCTCGATGGCATCCCTTTCATCCATCCCAGCCCCAGCACTTGTCACTGTGGCCTGTTTCCCTGTCTGTACCTCCACATCTTTGCCCCCCACCCCCACCCCACAGGGCCATTTGTCCCAGGAAAGCAGGGATCTTGACCAGCGCCCAGTACACTGCAAAACACAAAGTAGGAGTGCAAGAACTATTTGTTTCCTGAATGAACAAATACATGGATGGAGGACTTCCTGGGAAGGAAGAATTTCATCTTCCTGAGGCCAGGACAAGGGCATCGATGAGAACCAGAAGCCTCCATACAGCCACTGCCCAGTCTCTGTGTTTACAGCAGGCCTGGCCACCTCCCCCACCAGGGGTCTAATATCAAGCCCCAAACTGATTGTTTCTCTTTTTAATTTTTTTCTTAAATAGGCCCATAATGGTATACATTTCAAGAGGTACAACACAGTACTCTCTGATGTATCCCCCCACCTCTCCTCCTAGAGGTAACCTCCTTTTTGCTATGCATGCCCCCCCCCCGCCCACCCCAGGCCTGCTGCCTGCCTTTCCAGGCCTCAGCACCACAGAGAAGGGAGGATGTCAGTTCTGTCTGGCACAAGCGGCCTTGCTCTGTAGCTGTGTCCAGACAGGGCAGTGGAGAGGGTGAAAGCAGAGGGGCCATGAGCCAGGATGATTCATCCCAGGCTGAAGGATTCCCAGGCTCCAGGGCAGCTGGGGAACCCCTTGCAGAGAAAACAGGAAGAGCCTGCAACCCCCCATTACGGGGTCTCTGCTGGCCAAACCACACAAAATCACCACATAGCTTGACAAAGGTGGGGAGAAGCTAGGCCTTTGGGGGAAGGATCTCACTCTAGGTGGGACCCAGAGAAGGGACACTCCCAGTTTGGCTCACTTTGCCAGTTCTAGCTCCAAACCTTCCCTTAGAGAGTTGTGAAAATGGTAAAAAAAATCTCAACAATAGCCTCAAATGTGAATCCAGGTAATACTAGGTTAAGACGAATGTCAGGAAGACCCAAAAGTAAACCTGCTGGGGTTCTGGGAAGAGGCACAGCTGGTCCCCTAATCCCAGGGCTTGCTGGAGGCTCTCCAGGGGGACTGCCTGTATCACAGC